TATCAACATAAATTCAACATTTTTCTAATGGTAAATAATATAACCGTAGTTTACATTTATGATAGCTGCCGACGCCGACCTTAACTGCTTCTTGTTAATCCACACCAACAACAGTTTCTAGGAGTTTTGAGCGGTGTTTGGAAGTAACAGTAACTACTTTTCCTGCATCAAGTTTCTTAATTTCTTCCTTCTTCTTCAGAATAGTACAGATTGTCGATGTCGAAAGGCCGTAAGTCTTCGCCCATTCCGTCACTGTTACACCACGCTTATGCTTATCTATGATTTCTTTCTTAATTTCAAGGGCCATAGTTTTCTTATTTTTCTCTTCAGCACTATCTGAGGCAACAATCTTCTTCAGAGGCATCGTGAAATACTTATTTTCAGGTTAAATGCAATAAACAATTAACTCATAAGCGCACAAACACGTAGATCAAAGAACATTGAATAATCTGACTAAGGGATTCCCAGAGTCAAGCCAGATCAGAAAATGGCGCCATGCATACCAACAGCCTAACTCGTTGCTCGTTACTCAAGTCAGAGCTCGTATTTAGAGGCGAAATTTTTCGCTTATACTTTCCTTGTATCTCAAATTTCTCGTATGTAGAGGTGCTCTCGAGGTTCCACTCTATGACCTGTATAATCTTTATTAAAATAAAGCAGAACAAACAAAAATATATTGCTTTATTTATACACTAGCAGCTACGGGGCCAGCCTTCGTCTGGCTTTTAAATGTACCGGAAAAATGCCTAAAGGGGACTCCAAATGTTAAATTTAAAAACCTGCGCAGAATTTTAGTCTGCAGAATAACTTCATTAAAAAAACCCCACAAATTTAGAAAAAAATGTGTTACATATAAAAAAATTACAATGAAATGGGCAATATATCTTAATACAAATATTAATTATCCTAATAAATAAATTAACCAACCTCCCTTTACAAAATCTTAAGAACAAATGGTATAAAAGAAATAAAAATTGCTTCCTAAAAAAACTCATCAAAACCTTTTATATAATTAAAAAATATATTAACCAAAATAAAAAAATTACAATAAATAAGCAATAAATCTCATATTTTCAAGAGAAAACAATGAGCAGTCCAGTATCCAAAGTAATGAATGAGAAACTGTTGCCAAAATCACATTTCTAAAAAAATGAAACTATCATCAGATAGCAATAACCATTCAAAATTGTGCTTTGTGGATGACATAATTTAAAATATATAAACCTCTTTGCCATTAGCTAATAAAGAGAGAGAGAGAGAGAGGAGGGGGACAAGGAAATTCTTTCTTTTGTGCCTCGAAAACATATGTGCGTCAGAATAAGAAGATTGCGATGTGTGTGTTGCGTGTCTAAAAATCAAAAGAAAAAATGCGGCATTTTATCTTATACTAGCAGCTATGCGCCCAGCCTTCGTCTGACTGTTAAATGTACCGAAAATGCCTAAGGGAATACCAAACGTTAAATTTAAAAACTGCGTAAAATTTTACTCTGCAGAACAGGTAGAGGAATGGTGCCCACGTTCTCCGTTACTACTACTACTACTCTGCAGAACAACTTCACATAAAAAAATTAAAAAAAAAAAAAAAAAAATAAAAAATAAAAATGTGTATTATATATAACAAAATTACAATGAAATAAGCAGTCTCCCTTAATACAAATATTAATTATCCTAATAAATAAAATAAACAACTTCCTGTTGCCTTCTCTCAACAAACGTCCAGTATCCAAGAGAAACGTTAAATTTAAAAACTGCACAGAATTATCACCCTCATTTTTCCAATTGGCAACAGTGCTGATTTTCAACAGTCAGCAACAAGGTTTCTAAAATATCCTGTAAGAAGTATTTTACTGATCTTGAGTAAGCAGTCCAGTATACGATTGAATGAAAAACTGTTGTCAAAACGAAGAAAGAATGAAACTTCTAAAAGAATGAAACTATTAAAAAGGATGCGATAAATCGAAAAGACAAAATAAAAAAGTCTGATTCGAATTTTGAGAAAATCGTTTCGAGGTGCACTGGCTCTTGTCTAGATGTACACCAAATTTCGTAGCCCTGGGTCTATTAGTTTACGTGCAGTACGAACGAAAGACACACAGACTGTTTCTTAATTTGGAGACTGCACTACATAGGTACCAGTGCTAAAAAATGAAACTGAAATACTTGAAGGATATAGTGCTTCGAATTTAAAGCCAGCATATACACTTCCGGTTGGGAACCCTTGGATAATTTCGAATTTCGAACTGCAGCAAAGAGTGAAGTTTGTATTTTCAACATTATAAGACCATAAGAGATACAGCGGAATTCAAAGAAATTAACTGTTGGAGGGATAAAATAATTATATCCAGAAAATTTAATATAGTGACTACTTAAATTATAGCAAAACACAATATTCTTCTGAAAATCTTTGTATTAAAAAATAAATGCCTGTTTGCGGAGTTAAATTCATGGTCACCGCGGAACTATATTAAAACTTTGATAACCACATTTATGATGGAATTCTTTACGTCTGGTTTCAAAACATTTTAATGCTTCATCAACTAGAACCTTAATAAATTGTTATTTAACATCAAACGGATTTATAACCAAACACTGGGAAGAAATGTTTTTAAGTTTACCGATGAATTCAAAAGAATATTTTACAGTTTAAATATTGTTAGAAAGTAAAAGGGGAAATTTAGAAATCATATGATATTTGGCTAAATGCTATGGTACTGCTTCTATATTGGAAACTATAGGATTTTTAACATAGAATAAAGATTAGTCGCTTATCAAAACTTTTCAGATCGGATCGTTTGTGGTTCCTGTTCACTGGAATAACTATTTAGAAATCTAGCGGCAGATATTCAAATAAAAATTACTAGAAAGGAATTATAATTGTTCTCAAATCTCTCAACAGTACAATTCCCTAATTTTGCAGTGATTTAATTTGTTCCCTAACTCCCGTTTCATTTAAGTAGGAAATATGTTTTTTAAAAATGACAGTATCTTGTAGTCGAAGTGAAAGCAAGACCTTAAGTAAACATTTCCTTATAAAGATGAAATACTTATTGTTTCCTTTAGTTGAGGTTGAAACTTTAATTAAATTCGAGGCAAGATAAAAGTAGCCTTTTCAACCCCATTATAGACGTACTCACGACGACTCGTGAGCCCAACTAAATAATTTGGGTGCATTTAAGATGATACATATAGTAATAAATCGTTATGCAAGGCTACATCAAGAAGGAAGCCGGAAAATCTATGATATGTAAGAAGCTAGTTATGAATTTCAATCACATGCTTGCGTGGAGGATGCATATTTACTTCTTTTCATCTTTTAATGTAATTAAGAGTGTTTTGATTCAAATGTAGGATTATGGAATGAAAAGTATTACTTTTGAAGTCAACTGACAGTTTTAGGAAAATGCTCTTTTTTTTTCAGTTTATACATGTTATATAGCATCTGACAATGAGATGTTTATCGCACAAATTTCTTCTCTTTCAGATTCTGAATTTCACTCAGAATGTTATTAGAACTCAAATTTTTATATTAACATTTGATTGATTTGTTGAGAAATGTTTTTGGCATTTGTATTTTTTCAATTACCATCAGCCAAATGACTATTTTTTATTCTTACAGAAACTTCCGTTTGATTTTACTGTATTGACTGTTATTATATTGACCAATGGTTTTTGCTTCATTTAGGTACAGAAAGCGAAATAAGTAAACGGAAGAACTATTAGTTCTAAATTTATTAATTTTTTAAACCCGTCGCAGTTCATAGTTTTCAGTAAGCGTGTTTTGTGTCCGAACAAAATAAAAAACATTGCCAGTTGGGAAAATATTGTTTATTTCATGCGCAAAAGATCGCATAAAATAAATGCACAGTTTAATATTATTAATTAAACGCAGCTATTTATGGCTTATTTAATTTATAATTATAAATTATGAATTATTAATTTATTATTATTATTTAATTTTTTAATAATAATAATAATAATAATAATAATAATAATAAACTAAAAAATGGATTATTTAATTTTTATTAAGTAAGTGTAGATATCTGAACATGGCCTTAATTTACGGCCTTGCCATTTTAAGCGTATCTTTTTAAATGTACCGTTGTCTGTTTCGTAGGTAGTTTTTAACTTCTGGTAGACCATACACAGAATTACGTGGAACCATACACAGAATTTAATAATTATGTTTAAACTATACATCATATACCGAACAGAGAGCGAGGTGTGATAGAAAGTGGTTCAGTTAACAAAAATTTAAAATACGAGTTATTACGTACGTAGTTATTACATAACGAAGTAATCGAAACCATGATGCTGCAAGAAAAACTCGGAAGTGATTTAGAAATATAAAGTGTGCTTAAAAATTTAATTTATTTAGAAATGAAAGTTAAGATAACGAAAAAAAAAATGCAATAAACTTAACTTTTTTTTTTTTTTTTTTATCGTAAAGGTAGTAAAACTGCTAATAAGCATACTTACTATAGCAGCTTATGTTTTTCGAGGTTTTAGGATTTGAAGTTTTCAGATTGCAATTTTTTGAAAACATTTTTATTCGATTTATAATTTTGCATCTTAAAAGCATGGTTGCTTAGTTGAAAAACGTTTATTATCGTTTTTATTGTCTTTCCAATGAAAGAAAAATGAATTGTTTAATTTTTATTCGCGATCTGATATTAATTTCTGAAATAGTGCAATTTTTTATGTACTCATTATATTCTTAATCATTTTGGAATTTTTCTTGTCGAGCCATGCTTTGTTATACTGCGCTTTGCTTTCAGTTACTTCTTTATGCGATAATTATGTTTCCTTGAATTTGTTTTAACTGAACTCAGTCCACATCTTACACCGTTTATTGTTTTTACTGCATTTTCAACTTTAAAACTTTTAGTTTCATTAAAGATGTTATTTTTAAGAGTTCTTTTCATTTTATTTTAAATATTAATCCACGCGCGGATATATTTAAAGCGTACGATAATTAATGCTTGCTTTCATTTCTATTTTAGGAAAATATGACAACAAGTATGGAACAATTTAAGGATCTTTTTTCCGCAGGAGGTAATGTTAGTTTTACTGAAATGAGTTCTATTGAATGTAATGTTCTGTTCTTGTTTGCTTTATTTTTATCTTTGAAAAAATAAAGTAATATCATGGAATTCATTTATCATGTTTTAGATTACTAGGTCAATAATGATTAATTAAACTTGAATTTATCCTGTTTAAAATGATGTATATTAAAATCCATTTACAAAAACTGATTTATGGCAATATACGGTTAGAGGAAATCCAAGATTTAATCAAAATTTCATTTTATTCATTTAAATTGCTAATTTTGATATCTAATTACAACCAGTAAGTTTTGTAAAAAGGTAACACAAAAGTTCTCATTATTTTACGATAAAATCTTCGTCTGAAAGCTGACTTCAGGTGGAATACTATGTAGTCCAACAGTGAGAAACAATCGCTTCCTGACATTAGTAGCTAAGGTTAATAATACAGTTTTACGCCATTAATATTATCAAAATACCCGGCATTTTCTATCAGCTGCGTTTAACCTTCTATATGTCTTTACATTTAATATGTTAATTTTCCATATTATTTTATGACTATATAAGTTTCTAGCTAAGTTGATAGTCTTTAGCAGCTAGAATACTTAAGAAGTGTTTAGCGACTAATCGTTTACTTCTAAGGATTTAATAATAAGTCCAAAGAAGGGTTAAATTACCCTTTTTATTCACAATTGGCCTTTTACTGGCCTACAGGAAGTCTCCGCTTCGGCTTAAGATAGAAAATAAGAGACTACTCTAATGCTAGCTAAACTAACACCAGCCGAAGCTGCACAACAATAACTATCAGAGTTGGCCCTTAGTATGGTCAATGGCGAATACTAGCAGGCATGTAAATATACGGCCGAACGTAAAGATGAGACTTAAAGCAACGACGTGAGCAGAAGACAGAAGACGCTGTACCAAGAACTTCTGGGCTCTTCAACTAAAATGACCGAGACTTCCCCTTAAATACTGGTTCACGCGATTCTGAAAATTCATTCTGATAGGGAACCGTAGGTAAGAAGCAAGATAATAAAGGAAAGCTATTCAAAATTATAACTAACTATTGGGAAATTATAATAACCCCTACATCTATAATAAAAAATCAAAGAAATTAAAAATAGTGTTTAAGTCAATATTTATACTTTGGGAGCCTTATTTTTCAAACCCCGCAGTGTGTAAACTATTCTCCTTATGATAAATAAGCACGTTGTCTTGACTATTCTAAACAGCACACAAAACGTCGACATAAAATTTAACTTGCAAAAACTCCATCGAAATACATTTTTACATTTGAAATGTTTTATTGTACGCATCCTTGTAAACTGAAGACAAAGCATCTACAGCATTTTGAAGCCGAAGTGTTTGTAGAACATTACGGTAAAAAGAAGCAAAACAAATCTCCCAGAGATTCTTAAAAATGGATATTTTTAACATTAGAAATACACTGGTGTGCAAAAATTAAGGATGAAGCGGTTTTTTCAATATAACTTTGTACAAAAGCTTTCCAAATCAACACATTTAATACCGTAAGATCCACAATACGTAAGGACATGAGTAATGTAAGCAAACCTTACTAAAAGAGAAATCAGAGGGAATAAAAGAAGCTTTATTGAAAAAGTAGCATGGAGCGCAATGCGACTGAAGGCCGAAACATCCCTGTGATGGGTGGCCAGCAAGAACATCCAGTCTTTAATAGGGGATATGATCTCCCCTGACTGCTAGGCAGGTTTCACGCGTCTGCCCATGCTGAGAATGAGGGTGTCAATGAGTTGTTGAGGCATGCTGCTGCCCATTCGTCTTGCAGCGCCAATCGAAGCTCCGGAATCGTTACTGGTGGTAAGGTACGAGCTGCCAAGCGTCTTCCTAGAAAATTCCAACATGCTCGATGGATTGAGATCCGGAGATCGTGCCGGCCAATCCATACGTTCAATATCCTCACTCTCTAAGAGCTGTTTTGGCAGCTACTGTGCGATGACATAGTGCATTGCCGTCCATGAAAAAGGAACTGCGGACCCATAGTGCCTCTAAAAAAAAAAGACGCACATATGGAAGAATCTCGTTACAATAACGGGTCCCGTTGACTGAACCTGCGTCGAGATGTGAGGTCTGTACGACTACCAATCTGATGCCTCCCCAAACGAGAACACCCGCCATCTCCATACCTGTCCCTTTCAATGATGTTCGAGGGATGATTGCGGCTTTTCCCCGCTCTCTCCAGATGAGTAGCGATGAGAATCGCTACTCAGACTGAATCTGCTCTCATCTGTAAAGGTACTCGTCCCCATCATTGTCTCTCCAATTCCCGCTTCCGTGTTCCCGGCACCACAGAGAACGCCTTCTCCGATGGGCAGGCGTTAGAGGAACACACCGTACAGGGTGTCGTGCAAACAGACCACCACCATGCAGTCTTCTGGCCACGGTAAAACGTGATATCGGTCGTCGTCCAGTCGCCTGTCTAGCGATTTCTTTTTCTTTCTCCCCGCTGTCTGCCGCCTGTTTTTCTTCTTCTGGCCTGTAAGGCAATTACCGGTCATCTGCGTGTGTGGTTCCTCGTGGACGACCACTACTATAAACCCCCGGATAGCTGTTCCTGTAGTTTGAATTGCCTCCCAAAGTCGTGAAACGATGCTGTGAGCAATTCCGAACTCTGCAGCCACACTTGTCACACTGCTCGGCCTTCCTCCAACTTCCCAATGATTCGACCTCGGGTAAAAGCATCCAGATGTCGTCTAACAGATTGATTATTCGCCATTTCTCGCTGAGGCAGCAACTCGGTGTGATTTTAACTGCTATCTCTTTGCCAGAAATACTGATCTTACACCGACAACATGCTTTATACTAATCAGACACTCCCCCATTACGTCTACCTGCATATCTGCGCATGTGCTACCGTACATCACCTTACTTAATCTCCTGATTGTCTTTCTGTCCGCTTTGCCTCTTCGTTCAGCTGATATGCTAATTTTTCGACTTCGTCCTTAATTTGTGCACACCAGTGTAATAAACATCTTGAAAAAGGCATGTTTTCGGTAACTTTTTGACTAAAATTAGTCTTAATTTTACAACGAGGCAAATCAATCACAATAGAATGTAATTAGAAGTATATATACAGTGGTACTTCGATATACGAATGCCCTAATATACGAGCGTTTTGAGATACGAGCCGCCGAGCGAGCGATATTTTGCTTTGAGATGAGAGTAAGATTTGAAGATACGAGGAATCGCACACTACACCGCTAGACACGACCGCAACAGGCGAGCACATGTTGGTGTCGTGTGCAGCGTCTAACAGTTTCTCCCACCTCAGACTAGACCTCAGTCTGTGTGCTTGTTTTCCTCGATTTCGAAGCATTTTTGATAAGTTGGGTTCGCGTTTTTTGCTTTTTGTACATTTACATAACATTATCACATTTATTTTTATAACCATGGGACCGAAGAAGATGATGCCTATTGAATTAAAGCGTAAAATCATAGAAAAACATGAACAAGGTGTGCGAGTAATACACTAAACGAGGATGTACGGGCGTAGCACATCAATGATATGTACTGTGCTTAAACAAAAGGAGTTGATAAAGGGTTTAACGCCAGCTAAGGGCGTTACGATAATTTATAAGCTCCGGACCTTCTCTCCTATGAAAAGATGGAGAAATTACTGATGGTGTGGGTGACAGAGAAGCAGCTTCAAGGAGGAACCTCAATCACAAAGCATCATATGTGAGAAGGCACGAGCGATTTACGGTGAATTTGCTGAAGCAGATCCCACACACTTCCACCAACGAGGAATCGGAAAGACTCGTTTAAAGCCAGTCGGGGATGGTTTGACAACTTTAAGGAAAAGGACCAGGCATTTCACTGCGTTCGTTCAGGCATGGTGAGGCAGCAAATTCGGATGTGAAGGCAGCTGAGGTTTACATCAAAACGTTTTCCGAACTGATAGAAGCCAAGGGATACATCCCCCAGCAAGTCTTCAACTGTGACGAAACAGGGCTTTTCTGGAAAAGGATGCCGAATAGGACTTACATAACGGCAGAGGAGAAGACGGTGCCAGGTCACAAACCCATGAAGGATAGATTAACTCTAGAACTTTGCGCCAATGCGAGTGGCGATTGCAAAATCAAGCCTCTGCTAGTATACCATTCGGAAAATCCCAGAGCCTTTAAGTCACATAAGAGTTTAAAAGAAAAACTACCAGTTATTTGAAGGACAAATCCGAAGGCATGGGTCACCAGGAAATTCTTTGTGGAGTAGATAAACCTGGTGTTTTTCTCTTATGTTAAAAAATATCTACAGTAAAACAACATGTAATCACCAAATCTCGAAGATGATTTACTCGAAGAGTTCAAGTTTATAAAGGCTTTCTGCATACCACCCAACACCACTCCTATCCTGCAGCCCATGGATCAGCAGGTGATTTCTAATTTTAAGAAGTTGAACACCAAGCACATTTTTCGGCGCTGCTTTGGGGTGACGAAGAACACAAAACTTACCCTTTGAGAGTTCTTAGGCATGTTCACTTTAACATGCCTAAGAATTATTGATCAGGTCTGGCTGAGTGTTACAACGAGGACCTTAACCTCTGCATGGAAGAAGCTGTGGCCTGAGGCTGTAGCTGAAAGAGCCTTCGAAGGATTGGAACACGAAGTGTCAGTGGTAGAGGAGATTGTTTCTCTAGGAAAATCCATGGGTCTGGAGGTGAATGAGAGAAATGTGACGAACTCGTCGAGGAACAGTCTTAGGAGCTGACAACCCAGGAGTTACACGATCTACATTCGCAGCAGCATACGGTGGTTCAACGAAAAATTAGTTTTGAAGAGGAGCCAGAGATGGAGGAGGTTATCCATACAAGAGATACAAAGGAAGTCTTGGGAATGTGGGAGAAAGTTGTAGAGTTCGTGGATAAAAATCACACCGAAAAAGTTGCAACTGGTCGTGCATCAGAGTTGTTCAACGAAACTTGCCTAACTCATTTCCGCAATATCCTGAAAGGGACTTGGATATCCTGAAACATACTTCCTTGGACAGTTTTTTAAACTATCTGCAAGTGAAAATGTGCAAAGCGTAACGAAAAATGCGAAGACCAGTGACGAAAATTAAGCGCTTCTGTAAGCACTTCACTTTTCCTTTTAAATATGTTTTTATAGAATATGTATTTGTTATTTATAAATAAATGTTTCTTGTAAATACATTTTTCTTATTCAAAAACACTTAACGAAAACAACTGAGGTGGTGCTTTGAGAGCTGGAACGGATTAATGGCATTTCAGTTAATTTCAATGGGAAAAATTGCTTTGAGATACGAGCAATTTGACATACGAGCAAGGTTACGGAACGAATTAAACTCGTATGTCGAGGTACCACTGTATTTGGTTTTCAGAAATATTGTACAAATCAGTTGAAAAATAAATAATCTTCCATAAATGTATGTATTCGTTTTGGCTTGATGTGATAATTTTTTTTTAAAATTTAATATTTAACCTTAACAAGTAAAAAAGTTTAAAAGTGGTGCTATATGACATAACATTTGTGAAGTCTTATATATGTAATTTATCTTTGAAATGACTATTATTTTCCTTTTAATGTGAATTTGGCAATTTTAGTGATAATAGATAATTTTATAAAAACAGTTTTAACGTAAATGCGAGCATTCTATAAAAAAAAGGAATTTTTCAAATCGTCCCGTAGAAAACAAATTTCAGTTAGTAAAAATATTCATTATGCTTTAATTTGTTGAATATATAACATTCCATTGCAAGGAATTTTCTCCTTCCTTAGCACGTGCTCTCGTGGTGTAAATGGGAAGAACATCCGCGTAACAATCAAAAGGTCCGGAATTCGAGTTCTAGCGAGGGCATCGCTGATTTTTCTTGCTCCTACAAATATTTAAGCGCTCTGTACCTTCATGCAGACAATTAGCAAAGAGAGATTCAATTTATACTTTCAAGAAACCAGCTATAAATGTAATACCGAACACTGCTGTATTAAAGATGGAAATATCAGTTGCTAAAAAAAGCAATTTTCGATGTGTATAAGCAATTGAATTCCTAGAATTGTCACAAAATTTTGTTCGTTTTATGATTAAATTGAAACCATATGAATACTCATGTTTAAACACATCTGAATTAATACATATGTAAGTTCTATTGTGTTAATCTAATCAACTATTATGATTTAGATACTTACTGTCACTTCTTATTTCTATTTCCCTACTAGAATGCAAATCAGGTTAATAGCATATTTAAGGTGAGGTCTTTGGACTGTAAGACAGAGCATATTCCTACCTCTCGAGGCCACGTTACTAGGTTTCTGCTAGCTCTGATGAGATTGTATTATTCGGCTTTGCATTATCGTTGTCAACATATAAATTGTTACACAGGTGAGAAGTTTGAGACAACTCCGCATTAAGTATATTGCGTAGCCTTTGGTTACTAGTCTCAGTTTTAAATCTTGAAATTGATTATTACTTAAAGTTCCATTGCCGCAAGTGGTTGGCTGATTTTGCCAAGCACAAGACGTACATTTTTTCCAGTTGTGGTTTAATAAAAAAAAATTGTTAAACCATCTTATGAGGTTCAAATGATTGAGTATATAACTGATCGTTGGAGAATCGCAATTAATCGAGAAACAATTAATTTAATTTGAAGTAAAGAATTGGATGAATCTTTGAAAGAGATTAGAAGTGTTTGCCTCATATATAGCACTTCTTCTGAGACATATTTCCTATCAGCAAGCCAATCATTCAATTAAATCCTTTCACCTGCATTAGTTCTCTGAAATTTTTGATTTCAAAAATTAAAAGCTACTTTGATATGACGAACATTTTCTAATGTGATAGATTTTCAACATATTACTAAATAATACAGGTACTGAAATAAGTATTTGACACTTTTGTTCATGAAACCATTGAAATCAGTGTGTAGATGCCTGGGGAATATTCTGGAAGAGACAGTATCTGTAATGCAATTTATTTAAAGATATATTCCAGGAACTGAATTTTCATACTGCGTAGCTGCGCTCTAAATTTGTTCCGGAATGCTCAAACGTAAATAAAAAAAATGAACAAAATTATAAAAAAAAATGCATCTCTCCCCCTTTTAAAATGTTTATGTGTTTAGACGTTTTTTGATGGCCTTTTTATGCTGTTTAGGATAATAAATATTTTACTGATCAGAACCTTAATTTACTCAATAAAAATACTTTGTTTTTATAGTATTATCTAGTAGGCTACGTTTTTAAAGGTTTCATTTTTACCGAACTTCTCTCACCCATAATACTGAAACTATTCTCATGAAACTTTCGACTTTATTTCAACAAATTTTGTAATTGGAAATATATATCTATGATAACTATTTAATAAAATAAAGCCTATACCTAACTTCAACATTCATATGACTTACATGTTCTTATAACTTAAATAACTTATATACTCAAGTAAACTTATAAATAAATTCTATACTCGAATAACTTATATACTCAAATAAATTATATATTCATGCTCTCAAATTAAAAAGTAACGCTTACGATAAAGGTATTTTATTTTTCCAGATCCCATGATACGAGAAAAGTTTCTGCTCAAGACTATAACCCCTATGATTACCATCGTCAGCAGTTACGTCTTCTTTGTGAAAGTAATTGGTCCGGCAATCATGGAGAAGAGAAAGCCAATAGATATCAGACGGATCATGATATTCTACAATTTTTCATTGGCATTCTTTTATGTGTATCTAATTGTAAAAGTAAGAGCTAAGATGTATCTTATTAGGTCTGAACAGAGCAAATATCCCAAAGTAATTAAAAATGGAATATTTAGAATAAAACTAAGGTAAATCCTCTGTAAAAATTGTGTTATCTCCAGCAGTAACATTTGACTCCTACGCATGCACGAAGTGTTAATGTATACATCTGAGTTAAATAGTAATATCTTTCTAGACCTACAACAGCAGTTGAGATACATAAGGATAGATAAATTTTGCTTAAATAAATAAGTGAATAAATAAAATGAAAAATAAAAATAAATTTAAAAAAAGATCATTTTTTAAAATTAATAGAATTAAATTATCTGACAGTTGCGCATGGTATAACAATTATATAGTATTAATTAATATATAAAATTTACATTATTATAAAGTCAGATTATCTTAGTGTTATAAGAGAATTTTCAAAGATTAAAAGAAGTTTCGCAATTAAGTATCGGCTGATAAAGCTCACCTTTCCTTCTCAGAATTTCTTTAAAGAAAGTTATATTACTTTTCATTCATTTTCTAATTATGTTTTTCGAAAAAATGGCCTTCAAGTACCTTCATTCCAGTTTTGCTGAAATTTAATATTTATTAAATTTTGAAATCCTCGCGGTTTTTTAATAGGTTTTTAGTTTTTAGTTTTCAATAGCACTTTAAACCTGGAATTAAAATGAAACGAAAGTTGCAATATGAAAACTTCAGATTATATACGAAGAGTAGCAATTCAAATCAGCTCTTCAAAGAGTTTACCATTAAAGTTTTAAATGCTTGAAAGTATATTTAAAAAAAATGAAAGATATAAAATCATAAGTTGAAAGGAATTTCAATGTGATCTTGGTCTTCAGATTGCATTTAGCAAAGTTAGAAATCTGTGAATTTTAATTTAAAAAGAACGAGAACTGCTTAAATTTAAATAAAATTGTAAATTGGAAAATGCTCTTAATCTTTACTTTTCTTAAAATTTAAGCCAAATACGACGTTAAACTGAAACGGAACTGTGGTAACATTCTTGTTTAAATGAAACTATAATTCTTGTGCAAATTTTCTGTGTTGCAATATCTGCTGCTGCGATTACCAAATATATAAATTTGATTTTGATATATATCGTTTTGATATATATCGCATATCATTTGATTTTATGTCGTTAATTTTTTGATTATTAGGGTTTGACTTCAGTACTTCATTAAGTTTAAGAATTTAATTTAGATTAATCTAATTTGGTTTTAATATTTAATTCATGTTGAATAGGAATAAATTTTATAAAGTTTTCTGCGTTCTTATTTTCATAGTAAAGTTGATGAAATCTATCATCCACAGCTTTGTTAATATTCGTAATATCTGTGAGTTAATTCTAATTCGTATAATGATGCAAAACAAGCCTTAGGAGGTTTTGAAATTATACACATATGTAAAAGTTGAAGCAGATGCCATAGTAGTTGCTTTCTTCTCTTCCTTGTCAGTGAATTAATGAATGCTTCGATTGGGTTTCCTATCGAGAGTGGGGTGAGGCACGTCCAACTGCAATTTCGCCAATAATTTGCCAAAAAGAATATGGTTTCCAACTGGTCATCGAATGACTGACATATTAGCAGAGTTTTAAATAAAAAGCTTGACGCAACGTAGTCTATCGTTTCACACACTTTTTCCGTTCCGTTCTCTTGGTTCAACAATGTTTATGTTTCATAGCGTAATTTTTATAATATGGATCCTCGAAATTTTACAACTATGCTTCTACGACGGACGCACACACTTCCTACTATATCTAATGTTTTCAACTTAGGTTGATTGGTAGTATAAACACGTTGAGCTGCCTAGGCTCTTAGACAGATTTGGACTGTTCCGGAAGATATTGTGGATACCTTATAAACACGCATTGCCAGCTCGATTCAGTCAGTCGGTTTATAATCTAAGTCTAGTGAAACTAAGCTCAGCGCTTCATATAAATGAAAAGTGGTATAAATTAGTTCATGTAGTATAGTTAGTGTCACATTTCTTCTTGTTTACTGTCTTTGATACATAGTTTTGTGATTTTTGCTCTTGTATCTTTGATAATGGACCGATTTTTGAACAGTCATAAACGTAATAGCGTAGATAATGAAAGTATGTCTTCAACCAGTGGCAAGACTGCGAAAAAGCAAAAATATCGTAAATATGATGACAGTTATTTAGAGTTTGGCTTTAAGTTAACAAAAATAAATGGTGAAAAGAGACTGCAATGTGTATTGTGTATGAAAATTTTGGCTGCAGAGTGCATGCTTCCAAGTAAATTGAAGCGCCATTTAGAAGCTAATCACCACAGCATGGTTGGAAAACCTCGTGAATTTTTTGACAGGAAGTTAAAAGAACTGAAAATATAAAAATACACTTTTAATGCTGCATCAATAACAAACAATGTTTTGCTAGCATCTTACAAGGTGGCTTAAAGAATAGCGAAATGCAAGAAGCCTGATAACATCTCAGAAGATCTTATTCTACCGGCTGCTGTAGATATGATGAAAATCATGGTTGGTGAGTCTTTTGAAAAACTGTTTTTAAACGTGCCTTTGCCCAGTAACATAATTAGTCGGAGAATACAGCATATGGCGGAATATATCAATGATCAATTAATTGTGAAAAATAAAGGAGTTTAATTTGAATTACAGCTAGATGAGGCTACGGATTTTTTTAAATAAGGATGGTCATTTGATATGCTATGTACGGTTTATAGATGGTAATAATAACAAATAAGACCTTTTGTTTTGTGAAATGTCACTATAGCAATGAAGGCTCAGGACCTATTCGAGATTCTTGATGCCTTCACATCTGAAAATAATTTGAATGGGCTCAAGTGGATGGATTCAAGATCGATTTAACATTAGTGCTCTCTGAATTTACTTCTGTGGCATAAGAGAATTTTATCGAGTTATGATGCGAAAGCAGTTATAAAACAAAATTTGGAAGCATGGAATTGACAGAAGTTTGGATTTCATGATGAATATCCCTGTCTAGTTAGAAAGGGGATAAGGCTCAGCGGATTTTAATTCCAGTTTCGATGTCTTATTTATGCGAAACTGCGTTTTCGGCAATCTCTGTAATAAAAAACAAATATAGAGCAAAAACCAATGTGGAAAAGAAAATGAAGGTGGTCGTGTCCAGTTTAATTCCACAATTTGAGAAAATGTGCAGTAATTTGCAGGTTCATTCATCCTGTTAATTATTCATTTAATGTTAATAAAGTAAAAAGAAAATTGTTAAATGATGAAGATACATGAGCTTTATTTATTTTTAGCTCTTACTTATGATCAGTTATACTTTTATTTAAGGTAGGGAGCCGGGAAAAGGTTTATTCAAGGAAAAGCGCCACGAATCAGAAAAGTTTGGAACTACTGATTTGCTGCTTAAATAAGAGTAAAAAGAACAGAGTAAACATATATATGATTGCAATCGATAAATTACCAGGATAATTGTATTACAATCATGTGCTTTAATTTTAAATATAAATAACAGATGGATCATACATTGGATTCCAAAAGTTAAGTACGTGACGCTGAAATCAATCAAAAATGAAAAGTACATAGTTTAAAACTGAATTATACATCAAGGTAGTAGATGTCTTTCAGCACGAGAGACAAAACTTATGTACAAAGAAGAAAAAATGTTCTGGTAAATTATTTGATGACATCCCATGAATCATTAACAGACTGATGTTTAAAGCTAAAAATAAACAAAAACAATACCTGCAATAAAAAGGTATAGGACCATTTTCATTCAAACTTTGCAGAGTTTGCCCATGCTTTCATTAAGGTATTCAGAAATGCCGCAGAGTCCAGTTCTACATTATACTAGTTTCCAAATGCCTTAGACAGGCTGCAGGAGGCACACGCAACCCTTACACTCCTATCATCTCATTCCAGAGCAAATCTGGACATGCCCGTGAACAGAACGTTGTTCCAATCTGAAACAGTCCAATGGACATGTTAATGACCCCATTTTAATCTTGATCCTTTCGACTGGGGGATTAGTGGAACAGAAACGCTTTGTACTCGGGCATACAATCCTATCACGTAAAGCCTTCGGCGCACAGTATTGGCAGATATTATCTTACACCCTCAGGTTAACAGTTGCGGGGTCGCTTCTCGATTCCGCATATACCAATCTTCTGAATGGATGGCAATCATTGGTCGACTGGTCACAGATCTCCGAACAAACGTTTGATTCCTTTTAGAATTGCTTCTAAATTCGAGATATTACAGAATAATGAATACCGAAGAAGAGAGACATCTTTGACTGTCCTGCTTCAATGCATTCGAAAGCACGTCATCGCACAATATCTGTCATTCGTCTTCTTTCAGCCACAGAGACATGAATGTCATCAAAAATTATCCTACAAAAGTTATAAATACTTAATGCGTAATTTAAATGAACTTCTTTCAAACCACCAGAATGCTGGAGTCTTCAACGACTGCCTAAATGGCATATTTTCGGACAGTCAATGTGATTGGCTATAACGTAAGATATTTGCTTATTGCAGTATACAATTGCAGTGACTTTCAGTGCTCAAATTAAACTATACTTTTAAAAACTGCTAATTTAAAATGCGCGCTAAACGTTTGGAAACCTGTATATATAGACCAGAAATTTGCAGAGAATATCTGTAGTTTCGATACGAAACATATGACATGAAAATTGTTTTGTTAATTAGGTTTAAATATTAATAAAATTTGCATCATCAAAATGTTATAATGAAATAGCTATCCTTCTCAAATTCTCTAGCTTGTACATTCATTGTATGCTGCTATAATTTGAAAGCTGAATGGAAAATCTTAGCTACGGATAGGCAATATTTTCTGCTTTTCCAAACAATAAAGATAAATCAGTTACAACTCATCTAACAGTTAATAAATAGTTTTATACTGTAACTAATGGAGGATACATCTCTCATGTATGTTCAAATCTATGCTTTTGGACGATGCATCTATAAAGCATTATTTATATGATTTATACCTATTATCTTAATAAATTAACTGTTTTCCTTTCTTTAATTTTAGTCACACTTTGTAACGAATAACTAAATATGATTTTAATGGTACTCAGTAATACGTATATGTATATATGTACTGCTCTACATTGAAAATGCAAAACCAAGAAGGAATGGTCAGAAATTTATGCAAATTTTAGAGTAGACGCACCTCACTGTGTTATGCGAATGATGTGAAATGCGCAGCTCTCCAACGCACGTGAAGTAAGATATAAGGAAAGAAACGTGCAGAATGGACAATATTCGTGTCGTTATTTCTGCCAAACGAATTATCGAAGAAAGTTGGCTTTTATCCCGGAGGATACATGTAATAGGAGAGAATACCACGTCGCCGTCAACGAAGGCACTCCCAGCAGATAAACGATTTTACGAGGGGTACGGTGACCGGACTGAGAAGGGCGGGTTGGTTCTTACGTCAAATCGCAGCTGATACCCACATGGATGCGAGCACGGTGCATAGGCTATGGCGAACAGGGTTGGAACAAGGAAATGTGGAAAGAAGGAGGGGTGCAGATGCAGCCAGAAAGACGTCAGCACGCGTGGATTGACGCATCCGCCTACAAGCAGTGGCGGTTCCGCAAGTCACTTGTACCGCGATTCTGCAGCATGTGCAAGATACCCTGGATGTTCCCTTGTCGACCAGAACCATTTCCCGTCGATTGATTGAACGGTGCCTGCACTCACGGCGTCCGTTAAGAAGACTGCCATTGACCCCACAGCATAGACACCACCGTTTAGAATGGTGCCGGAATGGAGCGATGTGGACGACAGAATGGCGAAACGCCGTATTCTCAGATGAGTCACACTTCTGTTTATCCAGTGACAGTCGCCGCATACATGTGTGGCGTCGACGTGGAGACAGATCTAATTCGGAAGTAACTGTGGAACGCCCTACAGCGCGACAACGTGGCATAATGGTTTGGGTTGCTATTGCCTACGATTCTAGGTCACCTCTAGTTCGTATTCAGGGTTCTATGACGGCCCAACGATACTTGGATAAAGTACTGCGGCTTGTGGTAATCGCCTACCTTCAGGGGCTGCCTAATGCATTTTTTCAGCGGGATAACGCCCGATCACACAGTGCTCGTATCTGCCAACGTGCTCTGCAAGTTATACAGATGCTTCCCTGGCCACCTTACTCTCCTAACCTGTCACCAATCGAACTTGTGTGGGATGTGATTGGACGCCGTTTGCAGACTCAGTCCCTGCCTCGTTCAGAAGACGAACTGTGGCAAATGGTTGAAAGGGAATGGAGAGCCATCCCTCAGGACGCCATCCGCACTCTTATTGACCCTATGCCTAGACATGTTTCTTCTTGCATCGCTGTCCACGGTGGTCCTACATTCTACTGAGCCGACGCCGTTCTCGCTCTGTATTCTGACTATCATTTTGAAATAAAGATACTTATTGCTGCTTGCTGTCTCGTCTTTTTCCGAATTTCATCACTTTCTGACCACTCCTTCTTGGTGTTGCAATTTCAATGTCGAGCAGTGTATATATATATATATATATATACTATATATGTATGTGTGAATGTGTGAGCTCGTGAGCGCACAATTTTATTTACTACCCACATACCTGTATTTCACAAACCTGGCAATTTACAACTTTTGTTTAAAAAATGTACTTAGTAATCAAAATTCTAACATGTTTTCCTCTTTCTTTTCCAAGGGTGTACAGTTCGTTCCTAAACTAGGATTTTCATTTTTCTGTGGAGCTTTAGATTCCCAAAATCCTGTAGTAGCTGATGTAAGTAAAAGCATATTTATTATAACATATGTGTACCAGTCTATGCAACAGTATATATAAATGCTAGTGTATAGTATTAATTCAGAAGTCAAACAACAAAAGTCAGCGTTAATTTTCAAAATTTTCACAGGACTAGTTTCGATGGTTTTACCGAACCACCATCCTCAGCTACAAAACCGCAAATCTAGTATATAGGTTAAACAATTTGAGCAACGATATTACAAATATTTGTCACCAGTTACAAGAATTGCAGAAATATGTAAAATTCGTTAAGCCGATATCGTGGTAGTATCTCGGACTATCTGTATAGATTTTGCATTATAAATTTCAAAGAGTGAGAACATCACTTTTTCCCGAAGTACCATAATGTTCCATATTCAACCGAAAATTATGAAAGTTTGAGCAGAAAATATACTTTGTGGTAATTGGCAAGTTAATTATGCATATAAATGTAATTATGTGCATACAGTACATTATTTGGGCAAAACGATTTGTTCTTGAAACACATAGTAGTTCTTGCTTTGTTATAAAATAGTTTTCGCTTTTAGTGAGAAAGAACGCAGGTGGTGATAAAAAAAAAGGGTTGTGAACTAATTCTGAGGTTATATGTTTTATTAAAATGTAATTGGTTTTCCTGTCTGGTAAAGAAAAGCATTTTTTATCCTTGCTAATGAGAATAGATTACAAAGAATACATTTTGCAATGCTGCTAAAAATTTAGAAAGAAATATCCTGAAATTTGGGATGAGGTGACAAAGATCACTCGTTTCCAAATACAAATGGTGTCATAAATTTTAACTAGGCTGCTTGAAACACCACCGGCACCATTCTCTTAGGATTAAGATACGTAATGGCACATGAAGATTTACTGCCTAAAGCTGATCCGCCCAGCCGGTATAGGATGATTGCCGTATCGATGCGGCAGTGATCTATTTTCAGAAAAGGCATGATTGCTTGTAAGCGCGTAGTGTCTGGGCGGCCTGGAGGCATTCGAAATACGTGGCTAGACGAAAATCCTTTAGAGAAGCTGAGGTAGGGAAAAGTGGTGGTCCGGTGTTCTTCAAAATTAAGGCTGAAGATTTGTTAGTGAAGGTGGCAATTTCTAATGTATACCTACCGGAATTACATATGTCGGCTTTGCTTCAGCCTGTAGCTGCTTAAAGCAGACTGCCGTGGTAGGTTTATTCTTAAATATATCCTAATCAAGTTTCGTTTAAAAATGTGCTTTTTTTATTTTGTAAAATTGCGCGCTTCCAACCTGCACGCAACAAAGTGGTGACTGCTGAAACTGGAAATTAGACAGAGTCTCGAGAAGGGTTTAAGTCCCTTTTTATTCAACTTTAGAATTACAAATGCGTGCTCTTGACGCTCACAAACTACGCCGACCCGGCGGTAAAATAAAAATAAGAAACTAAAAAAGATAATAACAAAGTGACTAACTACGAGGCTCTCTAAACGTAACTAACCTCACCGCGTTCTAAGATACCGCTGATAATTCAGCAAACTTCTGAATATTACGTTGAAAAGATTAACAATTTGCCGAGGCAAGCACACAGGCCGAAACGCGTGGTTCTTCAATTTCTAACTAGCCACCTCCACGCTCGTGAAGCAAGAAAGCACACTTTCGAACTCGTTTCCCTTCTATTTAACTCAGATTACTTCCGCTGAGACAATTTGAATCCTTTGCGCGTTCTACTACTAAATTTACATACTCTGGCATTGGCAATTCCAGGGGAAAGTAAGGCTTGACAGGAAAGATAGTTTAAACTTAAAATAAATGTTAGTTTAAAATAAATATAAACCCTACATTTGCCGCTGCCAGAATTTGGAAACTTGGAAGCAGGTCCTAGAAACGACCTGGTGAAAAGTTTCTACAATTCTGAATTCTAAATTTTAAGAGCCTCGTTTACACAAAAAAAAATCTGTTATCTCACAAAAGGTATAACAAATTTCTGTAGATACTTATTTAATTCTCTCTTCTTACAGCAACTTTTCCTGGACTTCAGCAATCAATCTGTTCTCTTCCTTCCAGCATCTGGAAGGAATAAGTATCAGTATCTTTCTAAATACATTATAATTTACACTTTCTTGACACTGAATAAGTTTTTGTTTTTGAACGATTTATTTTCCTTAGTTACTGCTTAATTCACATTCATTCAAGTATTCAAACATGAATTTAACTTTACCCTGGCTCTCCACCATGTGTGGTGTCAAACGGGAATATTCGTGTTTTAGTATTGCAACACTTTCCCTAACCACAATGATTTGTTAGAATTCAACGACCAAATAGACACACCTTACTCGACATTCTACAACTCGATGAGCTACTTTAACATTCTTAAAATTCAAGTGTAGGTGGAGAACCCTACAAACACATTCATTTCTAACTTCCCTTCCCCCTCATTCATCTTTAGACATGCAGGCTTTCGCTCTAAAGCATGATTTTATCTACAGTTTAATACTTAAATTTGAATTCATTGCTTTTGAGCATTTACTTTTAGCATCTAAAATTTTATGCTTCTAGACTAAATTCTACTTTTACATAACTTTCAAGTATTTACATATATTTACAAAATTCTAATACATATGATTTTTACAATTTACCATAAAATGAATAAGAGAAAAATAAATTTTTACTTTACTCATTCTTCGCCAAGCTGGCGGCACTGAAACTAAAGTTCTTATTAATACAAGAATACGAAGTTATTTTTTATCTTCGGCCAAATTTTGGCTTTAACATAACAGAATTAGTCTTTCGACCAACAGAAACTGCTTGTTCCTTAGATTTTATACTTAAAGAAAATAATACTTTTGCCTTAGCTAAATAAAGTAAAACAAAACTAAAGTCTCAACCGAGACACATTGACTTCCGTCAAAACATAGAAACTTTCGTATTTACGCATAACATTTCGGAACAAAGAAAAAAAAAATGTTATAGAAGATTTTAACTTATCTTTGAGTTTTCGATGATTGGAACTCCGACATTCTCTTCTGGCAGAACTGCTCCCACGTTATAGATTTCATGGACTTCAGTCTTCTCCTTAATGTCCTTCCGAGTGTCGTCCACGTTAATGTTTTCTTTTTCGTCCTCTGCATGCTGGCCTCTTGGAGTAGTAGTCGTCGGGTTTGCTGTCTTTTTCCGTTTTTTCCCTGGACGGCTGGTCTTGGCGTCCTCCGGTCTGGAATCATGCTTGAATTTCTTCTGTTGGTGGTGGTCTTTTCGTTCCTCCTGCTGTCTTTTTATTTTCGGGAACGGCGGCCCTTGTTTGCACCTGACTCTCTGGCCCTGGAAGCGTTCTCCTCGATGTATTTAGAATTTCTACTGTGCGATACGTTGTAAGTGGTGTTTTCCTCTTACCAAAGGTTTCTTTACGCGGCGGCTTTGCTTTCTTGTATTTCTTAAATGCTGGAGTCTGACTAGTTTCTCTTTCCTTCTTTTCGGGTACCGTAGAATGGACTTGTAGAAAGGGCTAGGTTCCTCTTTTGTTCTCTGCTTCTTGGGTGGTGGAACGGGCGGACGTTAATTCTGGAACCTTCCTACTTCTTTTACGGATTTTGAAATGATTTTGTCCTTGAGTCCTGCAAGAAACTTTTAAGGATTTCAAAATCATTTTGATTATAATATTTTTTCACCTGGTCGGGACTTGCTTTACAGATTTCCCCTCTCTCGTTCTTAAGGTACAATACGACTCCTTTGATTTCCTGAATTACATAGGGGCCTTCAAATTTTGGAGCTAACTTTTGCAGTAAAATTGTCTGGGGCACTTGATAAAGAAAATTTCCGCTTCAACACTTTATCCCCAACTTTAAAATCTGCTTCACGGCGTTTTTCTATATCATAATATACTTTTGCCTATTTCTTGCCGTATCCGAGCTTTTAACCGCCTGGTCAATAAGTTTGCACGTCTTTCTGTTTAAATTCTTGCTCTCTTTGTTGCACAAAGAATAATTTATCTAAAGGCGTAATTAACTTTCGGCCTAAAAATAATTCTGCTGGGGTTTTTTTTTTCCCGTAGTATCGTGATTTGCCGTTCTTAAAGCATAAGCTAACTCATTTATGTAGCCATCCCAGCGCTTGTGATGTGTGCTAACATAACTCGAATTATTTTTACAATGTTGTTTTTATTCACTCTTTCTGCTATGTTTGCCTGTGGTCTATACGGAACCATTTTGATATGGCGTATGCCAAGTCCAGTGCATATTTTTCAAATATTTGACTAATGAATTGTTTACCGTTATCGCTAATGACTTTTTATCGGTGCACCGTATTTTAAAATGTATCTGTGTAAGAATGCATCTGCGACTGTTTTGGCTGACGCGCGTTTAAGTGGAACAATTTCTGTCCATTTTGAAAAATGATCTACAATTACTAAAAGAAAACGATTTTTTTTTATAAGATCTAGTCTAAAATTTCATTCGGAAATGTAGCGCGAATGCTATTTAAGTACCCGGCCGGGCTGTAATTAATATCATTTATTAACTGACATTGATTGCAGGACCTGACATACGCAGTTTACTATTTTGTATAATTGCGGGAAATATACCGCCCTCGCGTACCCTTTTTAAAGTCTTTCTGACCCCTAAATGACCCGCTGTTTTCGCGTCGTGTAATTCCTTCAAAATGCTTAATCGAAGCGAGCTGGGATGACTGGTTTGTACTCGAGATTTCGTTTGTTGTTTTCGTATAAAATAATAAATTATCTATTATTTCATAGTTTTCTGCTCTATTTCTTATCGCATCGATATCTGTGTGCTCAAAGCTTTCGGGGGGGTCTTTCAAATATGCATAGATACTTCCAAATTCAGGATCAGCTTTCAAGTTCAGCGATAATTGTATCTCTAGAATCTAAAATAAAATTTTGAAGTCAACACAGCGCATTTAAGTTCATTTCCTTCATCGTCCAGTTTTATACGAGAAAGTGCGTCAGCTACATTGTTTTCCTTACCCGGTTTATATTTTATTATTAGATTATATTCTTGGAGTTTTAAAGCCCATCTTAT